AAAAAGTAATGGGTTATATAGTAAAGTGTGGAAAATATTAGGCTTGGAAGTGTTTATTTATGTAAAAAGTAATAGTAGTAGTAAAAACTAGGAAATTTTCCTATTCTCAATAGACTTTATTTATTTATTTTTTCCACTATGTACTATTTCTACAAATGAATAAAAGTATATTGAGAAAAAGGAAAACAAAGAAAGGAATATTAAAACTTGTATTCTAATTTTGGTCCTTTTGTCACTGAACATGAAAACTCACAAAAAATTTTAAATATCATTACAACGCACAGAAGAACCTTTGTACTATTTTTAATAATGTGTATATGTGAGCTACTTATCAAATTCAATAAATTACCATTATATGATAAAATTTGCAATATGACTCATTCTGCTTGCATCTTCAAAAAGATATGAATGTCACCTGAATACTAAGTTGCCACTGAAATAAAAAAATATATTTTTACAATAAAAATAGTGAGAAAACTTCTTTGCAGCACATAAAAAAATTATTAGTCCTCTAAAATATAAATGAACAGAATGACTGAAGTGAACAGAATTTGTCAGCTGCTTAAACAATAAAATTTTATTGATATACTGCTTCAATGAGAAGATAGATTCTTCTTTCCTATTGACTAAATTTTTTATTCTCCTTTACTCTTTTTTTGATATAATTTTTTCATATATCTTTCAGTAATCATTTCTGAGGGAACTCAAAAGTAAAATACTGTTTTACATAATGCAGCCTAAAAGGCAGCACTAAATGATTTTAAAAATTTTTTAAAATAAAATCAATATATAGCAAATTCTATTCCTGACATAAATCTTCAATCTTATATTAAGATTTAAAGACAGATGATATATGATAGATGTGATTAAATGAATAAATTCAATTTATTCATAGTGTTTCTCAAATATCTTATGTAATTAAAAACAAAGCAAATAATTCTATGAATCTAAAAAAAGGGTGCAATATGATTATATCTCCAAATCATTAAGATAATATTTTTGTTTTCACAATATAAAGCATCCATTCTTCACAATGCAGTCATACATTTGAAAATTTTTTATTCTAACAGTCCATAGAAAGTTATAATTACTATTATTATTTTTTGTGTAGTATAGTTTTTATCATTACAGATTTTTTTGTAAAATAATAGTGACTATTTTTATGATGATTATGGTGTAAAACTCAATACATGAGTCAAAAATATCTTTATGATAATTAATGTGGCATAAATCTACTCATTACCCTTTATGTATTTGGCTAATGAGTATACCTATGATATATGTTGTCTGACCCAGTGCCACTTGAATGCCTCCTTCCATTTAAAATCTTTTTATCTTAAGGACATCAAATGGAAGATGGTGACTACTCTATCTCAATAAAAATTGTCTGAAAAAGCCAAATAATGAAATTTGTTTTGAGATATCTTTATTTGTTTTGAAGTAACAAATATTTGTTGTCATATGTGCATGTTCTTATCAATGTCATTTTGTAAATCTACTTTTTTTTTTCAAGAACACTTTGTTTCTCACATTTTATCACTATACCTGTGGATAAGTTCATGTCTGCAACAATGACAAAGTCTGTAGCAAAACTTCATCTTTTTCCTCCTTTTTATTTGAAATTTTAAATTGTATTCAAGATAGTACTGATGCTGAACAACATAAGTCATAAGTATATTGGTCATAATGATAATTAGATTTATCACAGATTATGCATCTTATACATATTTGGGTATAATTCCTAATTTTTCATTCATTCTGTATAAGTAGGATAAATGCCAAGCCTCTGTCTTATCTACCAATCATCATTAACTATTATATTCATAATGATTGGTACACATATGAACTTTTATTTATTCATATTATAAAGAGCTGATTCTGACCCCTTCTATTTTGTTTGGGGATTATTTTTAGTTCATTATTCTATTTATTTTGGGGAATTTATTTTGTTAAGTATACACTACTGCACATCACCCAGGCAAAATTCAAGATTAACTCACCTTACAATGATGACTGCTGGTAGCAACTTATGACATCAATCCAGAAACAGCATCTTGAGAGGGGAAGACTTCCACAGGAAGTTAAAAGAATAATCTCCCACCCCAAATTGTCATTGGAAATGCCAAAAATCAATTATAAAATTACTTGTAAGGGAGATGGCATGAATTAACAAGACCAATTACTAGAATGAATGAAATGTTAACAATTAAGTATGTAAATAGAGTCAAATGGGCATATGCTTGTAATATCACCCCAACCACACTATAAGGAAGAGACCAATTGATAAATTAAACAAGATGACTAAGGAGCAAGACTGATGAAAGGCTTTGCAGTTCCAGTGACTGCATAGTTATTGGTAATGGTTAAATGTATTAGTAAGATTCGTTGTGTTTTTTTGATATTTTTTCATATTTTGCTTGTCAGTTTTTGTGGAGATAGTTATAGCTTAATTTGTAAGTGTCAGGAAAGTTTTGTGTATATTTGTTTTGGTTTTTTCATAAATTATCTTTATTTGAAAGTTATTCTCTAGCATTATTTCTTGACTGTACATATTTGGGCTTATACTAATAAAGAGATAATTTTTTTTAATTATGTATAGTAATTATTTTGGGTTTTGACATTAATAACAATTTTCATTCATTTTATTGCCCATGCAAATTCCAGGCCAGGTACTTTCAAACCCTTCATTTATTTAACACACTATTAGAATATTATCCAGGCTTTAAATTTGATCAATAGATAAGACTTACAGTATAAATGATAACAGATACCTACACAGTCTCTTCAGTTGATAAAATTACAGCTGTTTTTTACTAATTCAGTTATGCTTTTATGAAATTATTAGAGTGTATAATGCTGAAAGACAGTTTTCTCTTTATTAGTCATATGATTAAGGTAATAAGTTCAATCAAATTTCTAATATAAACAATAACATAAAGTGTATTATCAACAGAATATCAAATTATTCAAGAAATTTTTCAAATGTGGACGGAATACTAGCTTAGTATATTTAAAAAAAAACAAAGAATATGCTAGAAAATTAGCAAAGATGGATTTTATCTTTAACTAATTCACACACAAAGGCAAAGTAACACATCTTGTATGTGAAAAATTTTATTTGACTATTAATAATTAGAAATTAAGTAATTTGGCACTAGAGATAGACATTAGGCAATATCTCTTATTGAAATTAAAAATTATAATAATTTAAAACTTATTAAATTATATAGAATGTTTGATCATTTCATTTAGTATTAATACATCAGGATTTGGAATGTTTACATTTATTTGACTATATTCAATAATAATATATTGACTGACTAAAATATACATTTCACATCTGATATATTGACTATAAAATTTATAACTTTAATCTGAGTTACTAATGATTGTTATTTACATAACACAGAGCTGAACCTTTTCTACTTCTATCCAAATTAAGATATGAATAAAAGTTGTTCATTTATTTCCTAACAGATTCGTTAGAGATCTCATATATGTCGGATCTACAAAAAGATTGCTCAAACAATGCCTCTGTGAACTCAAAACGGACATTAAAAAAAAAAGGGGGCAATACTGCCTTGGTGATATATGCCAATGAAAACGGCATTACATCTAATCTACAATAAGCAGCAATGATCCGACAAACCCAACATATAAACCAACTGCAAAATCTGGAGGCATTAGAAATTTTTAAAATGGACTGCAAAGGCCTATCAATCAATTTTAATTAAAGATATAGGCACATGTCTTTTGGAGATTTAAATTTTGAAATTTTAAAAAATAAATTTCGAAGATAGAAGCATTGAAGACTGGAATGTTTAAAAATCAGAATCACTCATATTGCACCAGAAAAATTTATAGAACACCTGAAGAAGACCCTAGAAATGGGTAAAAAATGTTAGTGTTATGATCTAAATATCTGCAAAGCTATACAAGGTTAGTGCAACGTATTTGTATTTATTTCCTAGATCTATCACATCTGATAATTCTATAAATTAGAACTGTTTCTCTAAAATTTTTCAATTTATACACTATATTATATATTTTTTATTCCACTTATTTTTTTCTCAACCAATTTCTCTGTAACAAATTCCCTTATTAATACATATTATTACTAAAATATTTTGAAGTTTCTGTTCACTATGTTAATTCTGGGTGGATTGGGAAAAAAGCTGTTTTTAAATTTCCTCTTTGACTTTTGTATTTTTACAAAAAATTTAACTATACTTATCATAAATATTTAAAAAATATATATAATTTTTATATTTTGAAACAGAAATGAAGCCATGAAAATGCAAGATATTTAATAGGGTGCAAATTATCAGAAGAGAGATGAGTAGTCATTACATAATAAAGTGAAGCATGCAAAGAGCTAATTAATATAAGATTAAAATACTTATTAATAAAAAGAATAATTTGATACCCATAAATTTCTAATACATTACTGTGGTACAGATCTACACATATACTGTAGCACAGAATTACAAACTATCTTAACTGGTGAAACCAGTTAAGGTAGTGTGTGTCTTCAAATATATTTATAAATATTTCAATTATTATACTAAAACTTATAATGTATAAACAAAACTAATGAAACATATTTTCACAAATCTTTATAAATACATAATTTCTGATAAATCACTTTAAAAAAAAATTATTATATTAAGAAAATATTTCTTATTATATACGTGGCAGAAATTATTATGAATTTAAAACTAAGTTTATTTGAATAAAACTGTTTTTATATAATTATGTATGTTAATGCAATATATGAAAAGAAAAAAAAAATTGATGTCTTGCATCTTCATTTAATTTGATTTAATTATAACAGAAAGGCTAATAGGTAAAAAAATTTCAAATAAAAAAAATCCATATTATTATTATTTTAAATGTACTGTACTTCATATTTGTATTTTATTTTGGAAAATCAATTACTTTAATTCTGTTATTATTACTATATAAAATTATATTCTAATATAAAAAATAATAAATTATACTTTTGTACTCTTTCAGTTTCTGCATTTAATCTATCAGCATCTCTCGTTTTTAAAGCAATCCATCTTGATATAATATCTTGATGTTCTTTCTCTAAACGATTGTAATTGTTTTCTAAACTACTAAATGCTAGATGTAATGCTTCATATTCATCTTTTAGAACCTGGAAATAAATAAACAGTCTAAGAAAATATATTTTCTTTTATTTGAAAACATAATTTTAATAAAATATAAAAATTTCCATTTAAAAAAATAACATTTAAAAATTATGATTTTAATTTAAGTTTGATAAAATCTTCACAGGTGATACATATTTTTAAAAAAATGTTAATAAATAAATAATATCTAAAATGACATGCCTATCCAAAAAAAGCAATCAAGATTCAGATATAAGAAACAGATAGAAAATATTTGTGAGAATCCAGACATCAAATCAACAACTTAAATTAAAAATAATATAACTTTTTAATAATATAACTTTGTCAGCAGTGATATCTGTCAACTTTCAAACCTAGGAGCATCTCTTCCTATATGTTCTCAGCATTGAAAGAAATGCTTTCCTGCAACCTTCTGACATGCCGTCCTGATTTCACGGATTTAATATGACAACTAAGAGCCAGCCAAGTCAGTTGTTGCCAGCTTATCAACCCACCATGTTCACATTGTACCACATATTTGAATTAACTTTTTCACCAATGGATTTCATAAGTGCTTTCTTTGGAATTAACTTCGTCACCAACCCCCAGGAAAATTCTATATTTCATCTCTACTCCCAGCCCAGAACAGGAAAATTTCCATGTCAAATATCTTATCCTGAACTCCTCTAAAATGCCAACCTTCCTTGTTTACCCTGTCAAAAGAGACTGATTGAAAGAGACCTGTCAAAAGAGACTCTCTTGCCTCTGGTCTACCAGAAGATCAACCAAACTTCAGGTATTTATGTCTACGTGCATTATCATGTAAACTTACTCTCTCTTGCAACCACCTACCAGTTATTTTGACATATTACAATGTATATGTCATGGAAATCTTTTTCTTTTCAAAATAAATGGTTATTAGTTTGTTAAATCTAGTATCTAAGTGCATTACTTCTGTCGCACTGTCTCATAGTCCTCCATCTGGAATCCAATCACTTATGCACACAACTGCTCACATGACCTAGTTTCTAACAAAAACAATTAGCCATCACAGCTTCTGAGTTGAACGGGATACAGTGATGTCATCCTGACATGGCATTGAAGAGGTGCTGACTCCAGTCACATATATATTGTATCTGAATCCATGTTGTTTGATATGTTAAAACTAATTCTAGCTATTTAAACTAGAATAAATGTAGCTTATTTAGTTAAATTAATAAACAGAATTAAAGCTATGCATTCAGATCACATCCAAAACCAAAGCACTTTTTTCTTTATATCTAGATCTTTCTTTGAGAAGTCATATTCATATGCGAGACTTATACTTTGAGTTTTACTTGTTTATTAACAATTCCAGAACTCAGTTAATACTTCAACATTAAAAAATTAATTAAAATAGATATGAATATCAATATTGCAATTCACAAATTTACTAAAAAAATTTAGCAAAATATCTTCAAAGAAAAAATTAATAAGTATTTTCACAGGTTTTCCTGTATAATTATAATTGGTAAATTATCACTGAGATAAACTGTACAAATTAATTTTACTGAATATTTTCTGAATTTATACACAGTTATATTTTTATGGTTGATTCAAAAATGCATCCTTAAAAGTTTATAAATCAGAAATAATTTTATTATTGTTATTATTATCATCAATACCTGATGCATCATGTCTTTGTCCTGAATTGTTTGTTCTAATACTTTGCAATCTTCTTTTGCTTTTGATAATCCCATTTCTAACTCTTTCAATCTATTTTAATAAAAATGGCAGTATTAAAATTAGATAAAAAACAATTCCTATATTACTACTACTTCTCAATATATAATCCATTATTACACCTTAAGAAAATTATTTATAAAAAAATTTAATCAATTTCTAATTATCACAAAATTCAAAGTTACAAATATTTACGAAACAATATTTCAAACAGTAGTTTACTAAAAATTTTAATTTAATTTCTTTTAATAAAAGAATAAAATATAAAAATATTCAGCTGTATGAAAATTTATTCAAATAACCATATTTCACAAACAATGAATTTATCACATACAATATCATGATAAAAAATGAATTTTGAAAAAAATTTATGTATAATAATCTCTAATATTTCTGCAACCTTGTTTACATTAAAAATTTTTTCCAACATGTTTAACAAACCAAGTACCAAACCATAAAATAATATTTTCTAAGACATGCAAATTACAAAAATATAGTAGTGTTATTTTTTTGTGTTCAGAGTTCTAATGGTATTCTGGAGATGTAATCAACCTAACAGCAACTGATGTAAAAATGATCATCATGCATAGTACATACCTGTTTTTGGTTGAAAAGATGTTTTTCATTCCTAAGGAGCAGATAAACAGATGGATTTCTTTTTTATAGCAATCAAATGTTGCATTTAAAAATTTTTTTCTGTACAGTTTGGTAATCTTTTTGTTGGGCAAATTTTATTTTATAACTCTGCTGCTTCTTATTGTCTAAACTATTATTAGATTTTAAAGATATGCAGAATTTTTCAATTATTAATGAAAAATGATACACACAACACTAAAAAGTTATGATATTTTTTTTTTTAGACTCATCTCTGTATGTATAGTCATTAAGAAATATATTTTTCTGTAAAATGTCATATTTGTCCTGGCAATTTTTATTAAATAGTTATGATATTCTTGTTTGCATCTGTCCAAGAAAATACTATTATATGGAATAATGTTCAGATTATTAAACTTGTAAAAAATCCTGGTTAAGATCAGGGAAATGATGTATATATAAGAGCAAAAAGAAGTGTATTAGTTATCAAGATGCGCACATATCTTCCAATTAAACTTTTAATTTTACTTGGTAATTTTGTTACATTTATAATTAAACTAATGGTTAAATATTCATTGCTCTACTATTTAACTTTTGTATTTAAAGTAGTTTTGTTCTGAACAACAGTTATTTAAGATGATCAAAAACATTGATTTTTTTGTTCTAAATAAACTGATGGATTATAAAGTTTATATATTAGTATAGATTTAAAACAAAGTGAGAATGTTTGTTTGTTAGAGATGAACTTTGAATCTAGTAAACTAATTTTTAAAATTCTTTCACTATTGGAAAGCTTATTCCTTCCAGATGAACACAGGTTATCTGAATGTTTATCACATTTAGAAAATGGCAAAATATACATTTTTACCAGGTTATTTAACAACTCCCACTGCTCAAGACACCGACTAGTACAAAATTAAAATTGTAATGTGTGATGGAGTTGATTCATATGCAGATCACTCAAATTTGTTCATAGAGGATTGTAGTTCATTATCAAATATAGAATATGGTAGCACTTTGTCTTAACAACCCAATTTTTAACTCTTAACCACATGAAAGTGTACAAATCACTTGAAGCTCACAATTTTGTAACAAGTGACTGGGTTGATCCAAAGATTTTGATGAATAGTTCTTCAAAACATACCTTTCTTAGCAAGAGAGTTTAGCAAGTACAGTGGGTGATCGGTTAACGAACATAATCCGTTCCAAGATTTTGTTCGCTATCCGAATTGTTCGTTAACCGATTATCGATTTACCGTAGGTTTTAATGGGAATTTGATTAATTTGTTCTGGAGACCTTAAAAAATAAAAAATATATACCTTCTTACTACGTTTATTTATATGTAATAAGTTAATAAAACTACATACATACACAGTGTTGCGTTTTTATTTGTCATGTTTTCTCTGTTTGAAAGGGTTAAAGAATCTGTCTAATGTCGATTGCTTTTCTCTCTTCTTCACGATTTTTCGTAAGTAATTAATAGCATTGTAATTGTAGAGGTCCCCAAGCCTCAACATGGTTTGGATGCCATTCTAAGACCGTTGTTCTGACATCCTCCCACTTCTATAAAGGATCTTTAATAACAGATATCGACATTAATCCTCTTTTTCAGAAGAAAACATATCTTGCCGAGTTTCTTGGTGTTCTTCATTCAAAAGTTCTAGGCGTTCTTCTGTTGTCAGATCCATTTCAGGTTCCATTACAAACTCTTTGATGTTCTTTATTTCTCAGAAGTGATTTTTGTTACTGCTTTAGCTGCTGAAGTCTTTTTGATTATACAGCATTTTTCTTAAATAAGATTGAACTGAGGTTTACTGTAGACCTGTTTATTCCATATTGCCCAGCAACATTAGGTATCTTCTGTCCACTCTCTACCTTTGCTATTATACTCTCATCTTTCGAAAAGAAAAATAGACGCAAAACTTAACGAGTGCCTACCCGACAGTCTCGCGAATACACAAAAGAATTGTTTTGTCAGAAAAATAAAAGGCTGGAATTACAAGGGAGGATTTCAAAGTTCAGAGGAATACTATCCAATCAGTATATATCGGCTTGAGCGTCGATGTCGACGTCTCCCACACTCCGAAAAGTTTCGAATTGTTGCCCGAAGACAAGGGAAGACCAATCGGTATTCATTATTTTACGTCGCTTCTTCTTGTATTTGTTCTGTGGGGTGTTCGTTATCCAATCATGTGTTCGTTGTCCGAACATAAAAATCTTTCGCAAAGTGTTCGTTATCCGATCTGTTCGTTAACCGATCACCCACTGTACATTAAAATAAACTATAGTGCTAGGTAATTGTATCATTGTAATGACTAAAAGCTTAATTTTGAGGATATAGATGAGTTTTATAAAAAAAATTGTAATGTTAATAACAAGTAAAATCATTTGTTTTTTGAAACTGTCCTGTTTTATAATTCTGACATAGTAAACACTAGTATTGTGTTGTATTCCAAAGACACATGGCAACTTTTTCCATCAAATATCTTTATTAGTTGAGTCGATACAGTACATTGTTTTGTACTCATTTCAGGCTTTTCCCCTCTTCAGTCAACTATAATNTTTGTTCCATCTCTTTCTAGAACTTTCCTATCTTAATCCCTGTCCCTTGGGTGGGATGACCAGTTCTGAGAAATGAAAGAACAAAGAAGTTAGAATGACCCTTAGGACAATGATGAAAAGACAAAGGGCATTTGAGGAGAGAACGGCGAGAAGTATGGAAGTGGAGAGTGGACGCTCCGGGTCGCTTAAGCAATGAACGGAGATACTGAAACGAAGTTAAGAAAAAGGTTCTCGTCCGGCGACAGCGACAAAAAGACTCATTACACTGGTTATTCCAGGAATTAGCCCTCAACTCCAACAAGGAAGAATCGAGGAGATTAGAAAGTTCTAAAAAGTAGAAAATGAAAAATTTTTCTTTCGAATTAATGATTTTGATTTGTTTTATAAAAAGTATTAATAATTATAAAACAAATCAAAAATTAATCCTTCTAGTTTTCAAATACATTTCTGAATGAAAGTTGATGTAACTGGAATTTTTTTTATATAGATGGTATTTGTATAATTAGTATATCCTCCAGATGTCATAACTTACATTTTCAGATTTTGTCTTTTTTGTCTTGTGTCTGTTTCCTTACATTAAATTTTTTTTAATTGCTTATTGCATTATTATTTAAAACCTCCAACAGTAACATTAAATTGACAAACAATATATAGGATGAGACATATTTAACCTGAAAAAGTGAAATATCTCCAAAATAAAACATTGCAGAGGAAAATGTTTAACATAAAATCTGTTTTGAAAGTAGAAGGGTAATATGTTTGTTTATTTTCTTACATAAAATGTAAAATTACGAAAAAATTATATTTTTCTTTCCCTTCTGACTTTCGGATAATATAAAACTTCAATTTTTTAAAAAAACAAGCCAATAGTGACTATAAAAATTTTTCAAAAAAAGAGTTTAAAAAGGTAATAAGAGTAAAAGGTAATATAATTTAAACTGATAATGAGCAACTTTTGGTAACAATTTTATTTTCCNTATATCGTTTGTGTATTCATTGTTTTTTTTATGTAAGTTCTCTACTGTAATAAATAAAAAATATATATTCTATTATAGCTGACTGAAGAGGGGCAAAGCCTGAAACGAGTACAAAACAATGTACTGTATCTACTCAACTAATAAAGTTATTTGATGGAAAAACTTGCCATGTGTCTCTGGAATACAATACAATACTAGTATTGTATCAGATTTTCTGTTCTGTTATAATGTCATGTATCAGATGACATTATAACAGAACAGTAACATCACAAATGTGGCACCAATCAAATTGTACATGTGTAATCACATACATCCAACATTCCAATATATCATATGCAAGTTGTCTATATATACNTATTCCAAAGACACATGGCAACTTTTTCCATCAAATATCTTTATTAGTTGAGTCGATACAGTACATTGTTTTGTACTCATTTCAGGCTTTTCCCCTCTTCAGTCAACTATAATAGAATATATATTTTTTTTATCTATTACAGTAGAGAACTTGCATAAAAAAAAAAAAACAATGAGTACACAAATGATATATACCTTTGGTTACACTTTGTATAATTTAAAATGTTGTAAAATCTGCTTTAATCTTTTTATGGATAAACCAGTATACATTACAATTTAAAAAAAGGGGGGAAAAAATCTTCCAAAATCCATAAAAGGATTAAAGCAGATTTTACAACATTTTAAGTTATACAAAGTGTAACCAAAGGTACGTCTATATATCGTTTGTGTATTCATTGTTTTTTTTATGTAAGTTCTCTACTGTAATAAATAAAAAATATATATTCTATTATAGCTGACTGAAGAGGGGCAAAGCCTGAAACGAGTACAAAACAATGTACTGTATCTACTCAACTAATAAAGTTATTTGATGGAAAAACTTGCCATGTGTCTCTGGAATACAATACAATACTAGTATTGTATCAGATTTTCTGTTCTGTTATAATGTCATGTATCAGATGACATTATAACAGAACAGTAACATCACAAATGTGGCACCAATCAAATTGTACATGTGTAATCACATACATCCAACATTCCAATATATCATATGCAAGTTGTCTATATATACAGTATACATATACACACATATTAAAGTAATATTAAAAATGATCAAATCATTTTATTAATTTTATTTTAAAAAAGTAAATAATAATTTAATAGAAAATAAAATTTACCGATTGTTTTTTGTTAACAATTCTTTTTCTTTTTCGTCCAAAGTATTTCTAAGTTCCATTAGTTGCTGAGCATACTACAAAGAATAATTATATATTATAGCATCAGAATCTGTTATTAAAAAGCAAGTCTGTTATATTCTAATTTCTATTTTATATTCTTTTAAAATATTATTTTCTTATCACTTTTAATATTAACTTACAGATTGTAATATTATAATAAATTTATTATTGTTTCTTAACAACTTAAATTAATTTATAATTTATTAACTAAAACATGTGTAGATTATCTAACAATATTTATTAATAAATTATTGATAATTGGATTTCTAACATTTGTGATTTTTGTATCATCATATTTCAATTAATTTTTAACTTATTTCATCTTCTGTCAATAAAAAACAAAGCATTACTTTATAGACACTAAACTATTAGTTCAGTCAAGTCATTGATTCCATTTGGAAAAATATCTAGTTAATTGCAATTCTTTAATTATTGTTGAATAAAGCAAGCTCATTATTTAGATACATCATTTAACATATGATGATAACTAATCTTAATTTTCATTCTGTTTCGCCAGTCAAGAACAACAAAAATTGTTTAAATCTACTATATCTCAATTTCAAAATACTTTTTACAATTATTACAAAAGTTGTTACAAATACTTTCTATACTTTCTACAATATTTAAAATCTACAAAGAAATAAGTTGTAACATTAAATCCAGTAAATTTAATAATTTCAATTATTTTAAAGAGAAAAATACTATAAGCAATTACAGATTTGGAAAAAATTTGTCTAAAAGAAAAAATAAAACGTTCTTAATAGTTACTCGTACTAAAATATCAAAATCATCCTTCTCTCTCCTAGTCAATCAGTAATATAATGGCAATTTGCACAAATACAAAACTAATATAATTTATTCCAAAAAAGTTATAAAAATTCAATGGAGTCAGAAATTTCTTCTTTTGTTTTCTTCTTACATAAAATGTAAAATTACAAAAAAATTATATTTTTCTTTCCCTTCTGACTTTCGGATAATATANTTACTGCTTTAGCTGCTGGAGTCTTTTTGATTATACAGCATTTTTCTTAAATAAGATTGAACTGAGGCCTACTGTAGACCTGTTTATTCCATATTGCCCAGCAACATTAGGTATCTTCTGTCCACTCTCTACCTTTGCTATTATACTCTCATCTTTCGAAAAGAAAAATAGACGCAAAACTTAACGAGTGCCTACCCGACAGTCTCGCGAATACACAAAAGAATTGTTTTGTCAGAAAAATAAAAGGCTGGAATTACAAGGGAGGATTTCAAAGTTCGGAGGAATACTATCCGATCGGCTTGAGCGTCGATGTCGACGTCTCCCACACTCCGAAAAGTTTCGAATTGTTGCCCGAAGACAAGGGAAGACCAATCGGTATTCATTATTTTACGTCGCTTCTTCTTGTATTTGTTCTGTGGGGTGTTCGTTATCCAATCATGTGTTCGTTGTCCGAACATAAAAATCTTTCGCAAAGTGTTCGTTATCCGATCTGTTCGTTAACCGATCACCCACTGTACATTAAAATAAACTATAGTGCTAGGTAATTGTATCATTGTAATGACTAAAAGCTTAATTTTGAGGATATAGATGAGTTTTATAAAAAAAATTGTAATGTTAATAACAAGTAAAATCATTTGTTTTTTGAAACTGTCCTGTTTTATAATTCTGACATAGTAAACACTAGTATTGTGTTGTATTCCAAAGACACATGGCAACTTTTTCCATCAAATATCTTTATTAGTTGAGTCGATACAGTACATTGTTTTGTACTCATTTCAGGCTTTTCCCCTCTTCAGTCAACTATAATAGAATATATATTTTTTTTATCTATTACAGTAGAGAACTTGCATAAAAAAAAAAAAACAATGAGTACACAAATGATATATACCTTTGGTTACACTTTGTATAATTTAAAATGTTGTAAAATCTGCTTTAATCTTTTTATGGATAAACCAGTATACATTACAATTTAAAAAAAGGGGGGAAAAAATCTTCCAAAATCCATAAAAGGATTAAAGCAGATTTTACAACATTTTAAGTTATACAAAGTGTAACCAAAGGTACGTCTATATATCGTTTGTGTATTCATTGTTTTTTTTATGTAAGTTCTCTACTGTAATAAATAAAAAATATATATTCTATTATAGCTGACTGAAGAGGGGCAAAGCCTGAAACGAGTACAAAACAATGTACTGTATCTACTCAACTAATAAAGTTATTTGATGGAAAAACTTGCCATGTGTCTCTGGAATACAATACAATACTAGTATTGTATCAGATTTTCTGTTCTGTTATAATGTCATGTATCAGATGACATTATAACAGAACAGTAACATCACAAATGTGGCACCAATCAAATTGTACATGTGTAATCACATACATCCAACATTCCAATATATCATATGCAAGTTGTCTATATATACAGTATACATATACACACATATTAAAGTAATATTAAAAATGATCAAATCATTTTATTAATTTTATTTTAAAAAAGTAAATAATAATTTAATAGAAAATAAAATTTACCGATTGTTTTTTGTTAACAATTCTTTTTCTTTTTCGTCCAAAGTATTTCTAAGTTCCATTAGTTGCTGAGCATACTACAAAGAATAATTATATATTATAGCATCAGAATCTGTTATTAAAAAGCAAGTCTGTTATATTCTAATTTCTATTTTATATTCTTTTAAAATATTATTTTCTTATCACTTTTAATATTAACTTACAGATTGTAATATTATAATAAATTTATTATTGTTTCTTAACAACTTAAATTAATTTATAATTTATTAACTAAAACATGTGTAGATTATCTAACAATATTTATTAATAAATTATTGATAATTGGATTTCTAACATTTGTGATTTTTGTATCATCATATTTCAATTAATTTTTAACTTATTTCATCTTCTGTCAATAAAAAACAAAGCATTACTTTATAGACACTAAACTATTAGTTCAGTCAAGTCATTGATTCCATTTGGAAAAATATCTAGTTAATTGCAATTCTTTAATTATTGTTGAATAAAGCAAGCTCATTATTTAGATACATCATTTAACATATGATGATAACTAATCTTAATTTTCATTCTGTTTCGCCAGTCAAGAACAACAAAAATTGTTTAAATCTACTATATCTCAATTTCAAAATACTTTTTACAATTATTACAAAAGTTGTTACAAATACTTTCTATACTTTCTACAATATTTAAAATCTACAAAGAAATAAGTTGTAACATTAAATCCAGTAAATTTAATAATTTCAATTATTTTAAAGAGAAAAATACTATAAGCAATTACAGATTTGGAAAAAATTTGTCTAAAAGAAAAAATAAAACGTTCTTAATAGTTACTCGTACTAAAATATCAAAATCATCCTTCTCTCTCCTAGTCAATCAGTAATATAATGGCAATTTGCACAAATACAAAACTAATATAATTTATTCCAAAAAAGTTATAAAAATTCAATGGAGTCAGAAATTTCTTCTTTTGTTTTCTTCTTACATAAAATGTAAAATTACAAAAAAATTATATTTTTCTTTCCCTTCTGACTTTCGGATAATATAAAACTTCAATTTTTTAAAAAAACAAGCCAATAGTGACTATAAAAATTTTTCAAAAAAAGAGTTTAAAAAGGTAATAAGAGTAAAAGGTAATATAATTTAAACTGATAATGAGCAACTTTTGGTAACAATTTTATTTTCCTTGTTGTACATTACATGACCCTAATTAAATTTAATATGTTTATTTTTGTGTTTTTAAATTGAGCAACAATAAAATACACATTAAAAAAGCACTTTCGGAATTCCAAGAGTACTTTACATCATTAGAAAAAAGACAATATGAAGAAATTAAATATTTAAATAGTTTTTGATGTAATGCTGACAGTTTTATAGTTATAGAATAAAAACTTGTTCGTTTTGTTTAATGTGCCTTCTAGAGAGGGATCTATAGTCTCACTTAAACTGGCATGCCTGTTTTTTATCATATGGAAATATCTGATTTCCTGGTCTCCCCTGGATAGATTGGCATGCCAGTCATTCCACGAAAATATGGTATAAACTTGGAATTTTCTATTTTCTTAGAAAATACTGACTGATTTTGGATATTTCCAATATTGTGGATGTTAATTAATTCAATTTAAAATTATAATTACTTTTTCAGTTGCTAAAATCACATTAGTGATTTAAAATTAATATTGTATGATTCTTATCAGGATTTAAAGTAAATATAATGTTTCTAAAAAATCCATAACACCATAATTTCAAGTAAATATCTCATGACAATATTCCACATAAAATTTCAAAAATCAAAATAAAATCTTTGTATAACGCATCCTATTGTATATCCCACATCTCCAGGGCAGCCTTTGAAAGCAAGATAATTACTGATATGCAGTTTAGAAGTTGTCATCTCAAGCATTAAAATATTGCTTTTTCTGTTCATTGGTGTTAACAAATCATTGTAATATACATAAACAGCAAAGTCCAAATATGTTATAATAATCATATTAATTTCCAGTTTATTTGGACTATAGTTTGGCTTATTATTAATAATATAAAATAAATCTTCCTAAAGAAAGACAGTTAGACTGTTTGCTTTCTTATACTAATCATCATTATCATCAGCTTATTCTACTATTTCAAATTATGGTGTAACCTCCCTTACATAATTGTATTATTTGTGCCCATGTTTGCCTATCATTTGCTTCTCTCAACCATGTTGTGCCTGCTTGACTTCTATTTTGTATTAGACTGAAGATTAATCTGTATCTTAATTGCAAGTATTTATTAAAATATTAATCCATCAAAAATAGGTCAAGGGTTGTAAAATCAGTAGAGTGTGGATGGTGTCATTTCTAACAAACGTACAAATAAGGGTACATCCTACATGGCAGTGTCCAGCAACCATAAGCAGAAAGAATCTTTGTATGTGCATCCAACTCTTGAGCGACTTCTGTCCAGAGTGGAAGCATGTCGTTTACAAAATGGCAGCAAGACGACTTCATCGAATGCTTGCTAAGGAAAATATGAGAAGCATTAAAATGGTAAATTTGACAGATAATTGTTATCACTAACTAGATACACTACAAATATAAAGAATCTTCATAAAATAATAAGTTAAAAAAAGTTTTATTTTTAAAACCTTACATTTACAAAATCAGGTTATAACTAACTAGATACACAACAAATATAAAGAATCTTCATAGAATAATAAAGTTAAAAAAGTTTTATTTTTAAAACGTTACATTTATAAAATCAAAAATTATTAAATAACGTAAAAGATTATAAATTAAAGTACATACAACACATACACAATTTATTTGTCATTCTGTTTTCATTCATCTACAAAATCAGCCATTTTCTTCGTTGGAAGCAGTGTTGCCAGATCTGAAGGTTAAAAAGTAGCGTGGTTGTGCTCCAAAAGTAGCGGATTTGAACTGTTTGTAGCCCAAACAATAAAAATGAATTCTTTTGCAACTATGCACTTTTACTAATGAAATAAGTTTGTAATATATGTGTATACATACACAGAGTATATCAGAATGACGTTTTAAAAATTTGGGGATTGTAGACGATGAAATTTTGAACGTTTTGATATAAGGAACCTACAGCCGGAAATGAGATACGTATAAAGTTTCTACAGCACTTTGCATGTTCTATGAGGTCGGTATGCTGGATGAAACAGCAGAATACAGTATTTATGACAAGTTTTATTGACAAAACAGTAGAGTACAATCAAACTGTACATCGAATCAGTGGCTGCACTACTTTAGAGTAAATGTTCAGTGTGACGACCACCAACTTCGTTACATAATGTGCAACGACGAACCATGTTTTGTCCGACTCTC